CACCTAGCTGCCCCAGGAGTTATGGAAACTTGGGAAAGAAAACTGGAGAAGGCAAAAAATGAAAATTGAGGGCAAAAAATGGGAGACTGAAGAAATAAAGGGGGAGAATAAATGGGGGAAAAACAAAGGCAGTGGGAAACCACAGAACAAAGGAATGTGAGAAAAGCAACCCAGGGCAAGAAAGAATAGTAATAAAGGAAGAAGATGGGGTCTTTAAAAACACTTTGATGTATTAATTCAATTCAGTTCAACAAGTATTTATTGAGGTCTACTATGTGTCAAACATTGTAGTAGGCACTGGTGATACAAAAACAAAATAAAATGGAAACAGTCCCCACCTTCAGGGAGTTTACATTCTACTGGCAGGTAGACAAGTAAATAAAAATGGGTAGTAAAGGCAAAGTAAGTGGGGGGTGGGTGGGGGGAGAGAGGGAGTATCCCTAATTGGATGATAGAGAGAAGAATCTGGAAAGGCCTCCTATGGAAGGTGGCACCTGAGCAAGGCCTTGAAGGAAGTCAGAAATTCCCAGAGACAGGTTTGAGGAGGGAGGTATGAGGTATATATTCCAGGCATGAGGGAGAGCTTGTACAAATGGACTTTGGTAACAGAAAGTAGGCTGGAATGGGTGAGGAGAAATATTAAATCTGGCAAGTCTGGGAGCCAGTTTGAGAAGGAATGTCAAACAGGGGAGTTTGTATTTTATCCTTGCTTTTCAAACAGAGGAGTAATGTAGTTGGGGCCTGTGCTTTAAGAATATCACTTTAATAGTGTAGAGGATGGACTGCCTCTAGGGCAGAGGGTTATTGTGCTGGTCAGGGGAGAAGTGATTAAGATCTAATTGACCAGTATATTAAGCAAGAAAATAGTTTGGTATTCAATGTTTTAATAAGGTGAAAAATTAAGTGATGTAGTTTTCTTTTTCTGAAAATTAGTTTTATAGGATCATAATTTTAGAGCCAAGAGGACCTAAGAGGCCATCTTGTCCCCTGATTTTATAAATGAGGAAACTGAGGCTTAGGTGGGGTTAAGTGACTTGCCCATGGTGTCACAGTTCCTAAGTACCAAAGGTGAGCTTTAAACACAGATCTTCCACATACCAAGTCCCTACTGTTGTTCAGTCCTGTCCGACTCTAGCGACCCATGGACCATAGCATACCAGGCCCTTCTTTCCTCCTCTGTCTCTAGAAGTCTGTCCAAGATCATGTTTGTCGCTCCCACGACACTATCTATCCATCTCATCCTCTGTCATCCCCTTCTCCTTTTGCCTTCAATCTTTCCCAACATCAAAGTCTTTTCCACTGAGTCCTGTCTTCTCATTCTGTGGCCAAAGTATTTCAACTTCAGAAGCATCAATATTTGTCCTTCTAATGAGGAGCCTGAATACTGCCTCTTTAAAAATGATTTTGTATATAGAAAAGGTTTAACTTAAGAATATGGAGCATTTTCTTAGAAAATCTTTCAAGTCACAAGTCTACTCTTCCCCACCATAAGCAGATGACTTTTTTGATGATGGTACAAGGCACCTTCCACACAGATCTTAACGGAGTAATTGTACAATACCTCTTAAAGAGAAGTAAGTAGTAATTCTTTACAGTTTACAAATGAAAGAACTGAGATCAGAGAGGTGAGCTTATTTGACATATCCCAGAAATGAGTCAGGAGTAGAGATAGGGACAGAAAATAAACAGTCTCAACCTATTATTCCCAGCCCACAAGTCTGACCATTAAGCTATGCAGTAGTTTCTTTTCTTACTCCTTTGGAATTCAGAGTCTGTTTACCTATGCCAGACTTTAATCACATCTAGAAGCATAAAAACAATGTCCTAACTTACTGCTAATGAGTCACCTAGGTGTCCAAAATTTTCTTATTATGGGGCGCACTCTGTGTTACTGATTGCTGTTCTGGAAGAAATGCATCAAATTATTTTTATCAGTGTAGTTGGAGAGATGGAGCAGGAGACCACAAGAACTGAGCTCCATTCCCACCCCAGACTAGCTGTGTGACCGTAGCAAATCCAAAACCTCTCTGAGCCTCTTGCAATTCCTGATAGGGCAGAGGGTGTTCCCACCCTGGGAACTACTAGCCAATCCAGCATCAGGGGATTAATTCTTTCAGTTTTAGTTGATTTCACACTCCATCCGATTGTTAAGGACTAAAAATACTCAAGATAAGAGCCCAGCGATGTGTATTCAAATCAAATGTCTTTAGCAAGGACTAAGCACCAATAAATTGGGTTGACGGCTTCCTATCCTGGGGGAAGTTTCTACAATTAAGGTCAGAGACCTCGAGATTTACTCTCATTAAGGAAATAAACCTTACAATGGTTAAGTGGCCTTATGGCTATCCTGTTAACCATTATGCTCAAAGGGATAGGGATGGACCTGTGATATAGGGAACTCCTCTGAGGAAACTGTCCACCAGTAGGCCTTCACTGGCATACTGTGTAATTTATAGTTGCTCAATGTAAGAGGGATAAAGGAAAGTGGGAAGTTTTTCAGACCTTTTGAATAACTAAAAAAAAAAAAAAACCCAAAACCCCCCAAAAACCAAAAAACAAACCCAACCCCAATTCCCCTTCCAGTATTTATAGTGTTTGAACATTTGCATGTAATTTTATTCTCACAACAACTTTGAGGTATAGCTGCTATTATTTCTGTTTTACAGATGTGAACACTGAGGCAATGAGAGGTTAAATAACTTGCCCAGGATCACTTGTGTCTGAGGCAAAATTTAAACTCAGATCAAAAAGGAGCGTTACTGCCTCATTATGCTCACTCCAGCCCAGACCTTGTGTCAGGTTCAAGTTAGGAAAGGATGGACACAGAGACCACAAATTGAGGGTAGAGGGGAGTAGCCCGGTAAACTTTAGGGCACAGCCGTCCTAGCACTTTTTGTCTCTGCGCCCTCTTCCTTCTGCCAGCAGCACCACGGCGCCCCTTCCTCTTGTTCAAATTCGACTTAATTCCCTCTTCTATCTCTTCCAGGAAGCCTTCCTCAACATGATTTCTCTGGGCCTGTTTCCTCAGCTTTAAGATGAGGAGGTCTGGATCTGACGACCAAAAGGTAGCTTTCAAGTGGAAATCTATGATGGCTGACCATCTCCGGTCCATTAGGACGTCTCCCCAACCTCACCCACCCCTCTGGAAGCAGTTTGATACACTTTTTTCTCTTGGGCGCTTATCAGTGTGGTTTAATCGAAGAAAGACGGGATTTAGTAGGCCTGGGTTCAAATCCTAGCTCTACAGGGATACTTACTACCTGAAGTATTGTAATCACACCCGGGTGCCATCTGGCAACACTTCCTTTGTAAATGGAGGGGATTAGACCTGATTTCCAAGATCTCTTTCAGCTCTAAAGCTACCAATGCTATCATGCATTACGAGCAACAGACACGACCTGCATTGATTACAGGGCCTGGTAGCGGTAAGCGTTTAATACATGTGTGTTGCGCTAAAGTGGAGGCTGGAAGAAGCCCGTCGATCGTATCGAACCTCACCTCCTAGCCTTTGCAAAGTGGCATTTTTGGAGACGGTCCACAGGTTGACCTCTTGGGAAGGAGGTGCAGAGAGGGGCACAGAAAACATTAAACCTTGCCCCAGCCCGAAGCTGGGGAAACTTGGCGTTGACCAACTGGACTGCGGGTTGGGCTTAGTGGTAGCCCCTCCATTTGCCGGTGGCCTGAAACACGCCCCTCTCCTTCCCCTTCCCCTACCCTCCATCTCTTTGCCTTTTCATTTCTTCGCGATGGGCGGGAAGAGCCTGGGTCCGAGAAGGAGAAAGATGTATTATCTCTTCTAAGGTCGGGGCGGGGCGGGCAGGGTGAGGGGGACTGGTTGTTAGACTGGACTATTTGTGTGTTTGAGATCAGGAGATAAAACCCCTCAATAGTAAGAGATGGTTTTTGAGCTGGGGCGGGGGCGGGGTGGAAGATATGCAGGTAGCTGCCAGAGGAATGCAGGGAGCCCGGCATGGATGCAAGGGGCCACGAGGTGATGTCAGGTCCAGGACGCCAGGGCATCTGTCCTGGGGGGTGGGGGGTCGCCAGGGTCTTGGGGGGCTGGAGGGCAGCCAGGGGACGTGGGGTAGCGTCCCGGCCTAGAGGCAGACCCGTGGGGTCTTGCGGAGCTCTTGGGAAGGAGCTGTTTACAAACAAGAGAGATAAGAGATGACTGGAGATAATCAAGGGGGTGGAGTCACAAGGGTTTCCAGCAGTCAAACTTTAGATTCCGTGCACTTCTGCTTAGAGATGGAGGAGGATCTTGTCGGTGTGGGAATTCCCTCCCACAGTGCAGATAGCAACAACCCTTACTTTGCGAATCTTTCTGTGAAACGGCAATAGAGGGTCCAGAAACGGGTGGGCGCGACCAACCAGCACTGATTAAACTCCTGCCAGACTCCGGACGCCACGGTGAGGCTGGAGGCTCCCAGCACGAGGCTCCCCCCAGGCCGGCTACGGCCGGGGGCCAGGGCGGGGCGGAGAGGAGCGCCCCCGGACCCCTCGGGCGCCTCCGCCGACGCTCGCTCGGCTCCTTCCGACTCCCCGGATGGGAAGGGCGGGGCGGGGTCTGCGCAGGAGCGTGGGGGCGCGTGCGTGCGTATGTGCGTGCCGAGCCCGGAGGTGGCCCCGCCCCCTCGACGCCCCGCCCCCTCCTCGCGCACCTCCCCTCCCCCTCCCGCGGGTCCAGCTCCTCCTCCTCCCCCTCCCCCGCCGTCCCGAGCCTCGTCTGGGCCGCGGCTGCACTGATTGGAATCCGCCGCCGCCGCCGCCGCCGCCTCGCGCAGCGCGGGGAGAGAGGGAGGGAGGGAGGGAGCGGGCCGGGAGAGACGACGAGAGGAGCGGGAGCGACGCCTTGGAGGCGCTGCTCCGCGCCAGCCGCACCCGCGCCCGCCCGCGCCCGCACCGCCGCAGCCGGAGCTAGCCCCGCAGCCGGAGCCCGAGCCGGGCCGGCCTGAGAGGTCGCGGAGGCCCGGGGGGAGGGCGGCGGCGGCGGCGGCGGCCCGGGAGGGCCGCAGGAGTCCGGCCGCCCGGCCCTCGGCAGGAAGGATGAGCCCCCCGCGCCCCCGGTGAGTCCGCCGCCTGGGAAGTTGGGGTGCGGGCCGGGGCGCGCGCTCACGCGAGGCCGCGGAGCCGGAGGGGCCTGAGCCACCGAGCTGCGTCCGCCCCCCCGCCCCCTCCCCCATGCCTCTTCCCCCCGCCGACCCCCTCAGGCGGCCCCCCCGTCATCCTCTTCGGCCTGTCCGGCCCCCACCTGTCAGCTGCCCCCCTTCCCCAGACCCCATCAACCCTTGCCGCCCCGCTTCCCCGCTGTACCCCTCAGCCCCCTCCTGGCCCCTCGGCAAGCCCCCTCCCCTTCATTCTCAGCCTCTGCCCTAATGACCCGCAGGCCCCTCAGCCCCCTGCCGGCCCCCCTGCTTCCGCCCCACACACTGACCCCTTCATTCAGCTCCCCCTCCCTTCACCTTGCTGGCTTCCAGTGACCCCCCTCCTCCTCCCC